CCTGCTTCCTGGAGTGGGAGGCCCAGGTCTGCAGCTGTGGGTGCCGCAGCTGCAGCTGCAACCCCAGGAAGGCAGATCCTGCCTGTTGCCAGCTCCCAGAAGAGCACAGGGAGGCTCGGATCCACAGCTGCAGTTTGGGTGGCTGTAGCCCTGCCCAGGAGTTACAGGAGGCCTGGGTCTGCAGCTGTGGGTGCAGTGGCACGGGGAGCTCCAGTCTTAACTCAGAAGGGTCAGGGCTCCCACTGGCACAATGGAGTGTGCGCCCCAGCTGCACAGCTGCAGCTGGCATGATGGTAGCAGCCACTGCCATCAGTATCACTATGTTGCCTAGGCTGGTCTTGAACTCCTCACCTTAAGGAATGAAACTGAAGGAATGAAACTGAAGGAATGAAAACTGAGAAATTTTGCCACAAGTAAACCCATTCTCAAAAAAAAAAAAAAAGTTAAAAGAGATTCTTCAGCCTGATGGGAAATGATATCAAATGGAAAATTCAGATCTATAAGAAGCATGATGAACAATAAAAATGGTGTATATGTGGATAAATATAAAACATAAGCTTTCTTTCTTCTTTAAAAGTCAATGGGCTGCTTAAAGCAAAAATAATATTAACAGTGTGACCAGGCACAGTGGTTCACGCCTGTAATCCCAGCACTTGGGAGGCTGAGGCAGGTGGATCATTTGAGGTCAGGAGTTTGAGACCAGCTTGGCCAACATGGTGAAAGTCTGTCTCTATAAAAGTACAAAAATTAGCTGGGCATGGTGGTGCATGCCTATAGTCCCAGCTACTTGGGAGACTGAGGTAGGAGATTGCTTAAACCCAGGAGACGGAGATTGCAGAGAGCAGAGATCACGCCACTGCACTCCAGCCTAAGAGAGTGAGACTTTGTCTCAAAACAAAAACAAACAAACAGTGTATTATAGTGTTTATAACAGAGGCAGAAGTAACATGTATGACACACAAGCAATATAAATAGAATTAATAGAATTATATGTGAACTGGCATAATATTAATTCAAGGTATATTGTGATGTTAAGGATGAATACTGTAAATCCTAGAGCAACAACTAAAAATAATAATACAAAGAGGTATAAATTGAAACTCAAAGGAGAAAACAGAATGAACTATTAAAATAATATTCAATTAACCCAAAAAGAGTCAGAAGAGAGAGAACAAAAGAAGAAATAGAAATGGGGACAAATAGGAAACAAAGAACAACATGATAACTTCAACCCAACTATATCAAAAATTGCATTACGTGTAAATAGATCAAACCCTCCAATTAAAAGGCAGAGATTGTCAGACAGGATAAAATACGACACTCAAATAGATGTACCTTAAAAACACATTCAAAAGGAGATGTACCTTAAATATATAAAGATTCTGACAGTTAACAGTAAAAGGATGAAAACAAAATAATAGATAGAAAAAGATAAATAGTTGGAGAATAAAGCTGCCACGTCTGTTATCATGCAAAGTAAACTTCAAAACAAGGACATTGCATGAGATGATTATTCACAGTGATGACAGGATCAAGTCATCCGGAAGACATAGCAATCCTAAATATGTATATGCCTAGTAAGTTTCAGAAATACCCAAGGCAAAAATTGAGAAAACTAAAGGGAGAAACAGACAAATCCATAGTCATAATTAGATGTTTTGATACTCCTCTCTCATAATTGAAGAATAAGCAGACTAAAAAGTTAGTAAAGATATAGAAGATCCGAGCAACACTATTAAACAACTAAACCTAATTGCCTTTTATAAAACAGTATGCCAACAGTTACAGAATGCATATACTTTTCAAGTGCATATAGAACATTCAACAAGATCAAACATTGATTTATTTTTCTGGTCCAGTATCATAAAAACATCTCAATAAATGTTAAAGAAATGAAACCATTGGGAGGATGTTTTCTGACCAAAGCATAATGAAATTAGAAATTATTAACTATAAGGAAAAATAGAATACAAATTACCAACAATCAGGCATGAAAAGACATAACCATAGATCCTACAGACATTAAAAAATGGTGAGAGAATATTACATACAACTTTATGCCTACAAATTCAAAAATCTAGATGAAATGAACAAATTCCTTGGGGAAAAAAAACAACTTACCAAAACTAGCACAAGAACAGAAATAGAAAATCTGAATGTCTCCATATCTATTAAAGGAATTGAATTCATAATTAAAAGTCTTCACACGCATACACACAATCACCAGGTCCAGATGGCTTCACTGGCAAATTCTATCAAACATTTAAGTTAGAAATGGCACCAAGTCCATACAAATTCAGCAAATAGAGAAAGAGGAAACACTTCATAACTGCTTTCATGAGGTCAGCATACTCCCAATATCAAAACTTGACCAGGAGATTATAAGAAAAGTAAATTAAATACAATATGCCTCATAAACATAGATGCAAAAAACCTCCACAAGATACTAGCAAATTGAATAGAGCAATATATAAGGAGGATAATAAATTATGACTAAGTGGAGTTTATCCCAGGAATGTAAGTTGGTTTCAACGTCTTCAGATCAATCAATACCATTCACTGTGTTAATAGAATGAAGAAGAAAAGCCGTGTGATCATCTCAATAGAAGTAGAAAATATATTTGCCAAAATATATATCATTGATGATAAAAACTCTCAGCAAATGAGAAATAAGACAGAACTTTCTCAATGTGACAAGCACATCTAAGAAAAACATATGCCTAATATATTATGGTGAAATAATGAACCCTCCTTCCTAAGATCAGGAACAAGGGAAGATACCCTCTCTGTCCAGTTTTATTCCAACATGATACTTTCTAGCTAATACAGCAGGGTAAGAAAAATAAATTAAAAATAATAATAAAGACTAGAAAGGAAGAAGTAAAACTCAGCAACAAAAAAATAATGAACTACTAAAACGTGCAAAAGCATGAATGAATCTCAAAAACATTATGCTGAGAGAAAGAAGCCAGACACAAAAGAATGCATACTGTTTGATTCTATTTATATACAATATACACAGGCAAACCTAGTTTATAATATACACAGGCAAACCTAGTTTATAATAACAGAAAGCATATTGGGGGTTGCCTGAGAGTTGGCAGGGAGGAAGTGACTGCAAATAGGAAATTCTGGGGGTTCATGCAAATGTTCTATACCTGATTAGCGTAGTTGTTACAAGGGTGTATACACTTGTAAAAATTTATTAAATTGCACATTAAAATTGATGCATTTTATTGTATATAAATTATATCTTCTGAAGTTGATTTTAAAAAATAGATACTATTAAGAGAATGAAAAGGTAAGCCACAGACTATAGGTGGTATAGACAAAATATTTACAATACATGTATCTGACAAAGGACTTGAATCCAGAATATACGAACAACTCTTACAACCCAAAAGTAAAAGTAAAAAAATAATAATTTTTAGTGGACAAGAAAACTCAGACATCTCACAAAATATTATATATGAATGGCCAATAAACACATAAAATTGTGCTCAAAATCATCCATCAGGGAATCGCAGATACAAGTGAGACACAACTATATACCTACAAAAATGGCTAAAATCAAAAAGTTGGATGAAGTCAAGATTTGGCATGGACATAGAGTAGTGAGAATTCTCAGACACTACTGGTGGAAATACAAAATAGAAGAACCACTTTGGATAACAATTGGGCAGTTTCTTATAAGGTTGTGCCTATGCCTATCTTACAAACCAGCTATTTCACTGCTAGCCATTTATACTCAAGAGAAATTAAAACATATGCCCACAAAATGACTTATGTATAAATATTCATAGGAGTTTTTTCATGATTACCAAAAACTGGAAACAATCCAAACGCCCATGATCAAGTGAAAGGATAAGCAAATTGAAGTGTAGTCATACATAATGCTGGAAAACTATTCAGCAATAAAAAGGAAAGAACTCCTGGGGCAAACAACCATGTAGATGAACCTCAGCGACATCATGCTGAGTGAAAGAAGCTAGACGCAAAAGAGCACATAGTGTAAGCTTTCATTTATATGAAGTTTGAGAACAGGCAAAGCCAACCTATGGTGAGAGAATTCATAACCATGATTACCCAGGTAGGTTGGGGACTGATTGGACAGGGACAGAAACGAACTTTCTAGGGTGATTTAAAATGTCCTCTATCTTGGTTAGTGTGCTGGTTACATGGGTGAACACATTTTTAGAATATGTTGAATAGTGCACTTAATATTTGTACATTTTATTGTGTTTTTATTCTTTAATCTTAAAAAATGGATATAAAGGACTTAACACCTAGAAAATGCTCAACAACCATTATTTCCCTCATCCTTCATCCTCCCCATTCCCACTAGGCAAGTACCATAGATGCTAGGAGAACATTTATGATCACTGGACCTCTGAGAATAGACGTGTAATTTTCTTCAAAGGGAAAAGCTGCCATCTACAGCATGACCTGGGGAGTCTCTCTAGTCCAGGCCCAGGACTATAAATAACAAGGATAGTGCCTAGAGCCATTTCATTCTGAATCTTCCTCTGGGTTTTGTCCTCCAGGTCTAGGTCTGGGATTCCAATGTTTCAAACCAAGAGGGTGGAATTTAGTTGGATCTTTCCAAGAGATGCGAGATGACAAAATGTGGGAGTGGGAAGACATGGTGGGGTTAAGAGACTCTCAGGGGAACCACATTTAAAGAAGGTTATAGAAGCTAAGTTAGGATGGGGTCTGATGGTGTGCCCCTGTAGTCTCAGCTACTAGAGAGGCTGAGACAGGAGGATCGCTTGAGCCAGGAGTTTAAAGCCAGCCTGGGCAACATGGTGAAACTTTGTCTCTAAGAAAAAAAATAAAAAATTAAGATGAGGTAAGAAAACTAGTGTTGGAGCCAGATGTTGAAGATCTATAAAGTTAATGGTATTTAAATGCTTAATAATTGTTTTTTGATTGAGTAAGTAAATGAATGAGTTACTGAGTCTATTGAGGCTGACTACTGCCCACTCCTTCCTGTCTTGCAGCTTACATACCTGCCCCCACCGTGGGGTGAGTGCCGATCCTCAGAGATGGGCCTCGACTTTTTTCCTGTTTACAGTATCACCGCCTGTAGGATTGACTGTGAGACCCGCTACATCGTGGAAAATTGCAACTGCCGCATGGTTCACATGCCAGGTCAGTGCCAGGGCGGGGTGGCCACAGGGCCCCTGGGATCTGCCTGGGACCTGCCTTGCATTTCTCATCCTGATGGGAAACACTTCACCCACTTTGCTAGGATCCAAAAGGATGATGTTCTGGGAAGACTCTGTTATTTGGTGCCTATTTAGAGGGCAGGTGGAAACTTCTAGTCCAGCAACCAAGACAGCATCCTGCTATCCAGAAGCACCCAGTGTTGGGGGAATGTCCATCCCAGTGTTCAATGTTTGCCAATTGTCTGCTGCTCTTACCTCTGAGAGTTTAGTGTCCAGATAACTGGATGCTTGCAATTCTTACAGCTCGTGTAGTACATGTTTGAGCATCCAGATGTTTCCTTCTTTCATCCAGATGTTTCCCTTTTTGTGTCCAAATGTCTAGCACTCCTTCAAATGAGGCAATAGTCTATTAGCCAGCAAATAAATGTGCATGAAATGACACCTCTCTTGTCACACTAACAATGCATGTGGCCATCTCATGCAGTTGGCATACCAGAAGCTGAAGTGCAGAGTGGAAGGCTGACCTGGGGAGAAAGAGCGTGGTGTTGCAGCCAGGACGCATGAATGGGGCCTTGGTTTCTAATTTAGGCTCTTCCACTCATTTACTGTGTGACCTGGTTACTAAACCTCTCTGTTCTCACATTTATGGTCTTTAAAACACAATCATTAGCTGTTACAATGTGAAAATTAGGCTAGGATATAAAATGTTTTGTAAACTATAAAAGTCAGTGGTTATTATTTAGCATATTGGAAGAGGGCACCAAAAGTCATGTTGACTGAAGACCTACTATGTGCCGGGAATGTTGTTTTTGTATTTAGTAGCTGTTATTTCATGGTTATATCATACTTTATTCAATTTTACTTAACTAAATCCTTATACTGGACATTTGGTTCATTATCAATTGTTTTCTATTATAATCCATGCCGAAATGAACATCCTCATTGCTACATTCTGAATTATTTCATTAGTTATCAGCAATTTCCTTAGTAATCTAAGATTTAAATTACTGATCTTTAAAATTGCCTCTGTCAAAAGGGACTTTGCCAAAATGATTAAGGTTACCAACTTTAAGTGGGGGAGATTATCCAGGTGGGCCCAAATCTCATCAGAATCCTCAAAATCAATCCCCCTTTTCCAGCTAGGGTCAGAGGGAGAAGTGACTATGAAAGACGGGTCAGAGAGATGCAAACTTGTTCACTTTGAAGACAGAAGAATGTGGGTAGTCGATGCATGTGGGTGGCCAATGAATGTGGGGATGGTCTTTGGAAGCTGAGAAAGACGAGGAAATGAATTCTCCCCTATAGCCTCCAAAAAGAATATCGGCCTCCCATCCATCACCTTGATTCTGGACCAATGAGACTGATACCTAACTTCTGACCTACTAAGCTGGAACATAATAATAAATTTGTATGTTTTAAATAATAATAAAATAAAATGTCCTCTGAGCTTCCTAGAAGGCAGAGCAAACAGGGAAACATGTCAAGCTATTGTTTTTGGAAAGGAGAAAGCTTATTAACTCTTCAGCTCTGCAAAAGGATTTTGGGGAAGTGATAAGGAAAAAAACATCATGGTGGACTTTAGCACTTGGTAAAAGAAAGAAAAAAGATCCTGGGTTTCTACAAAGAGAGCCCAGCAAGGAGAATCCAGCAATGGGGAATATTATTCACCTGATGCTCAGACTAAGCCACCAGCCAGTGAGGTTTTCCCCACCAACCCTTAGCCAAAGGCAAGCAGTAGAGGTGTCAATCACACCCAGGACACTAATACTGACATCTCAGTGACTAATGTGGAATTATGAGCAAAGCAATAGAGAAACACAAGGCAACCCTTGTTCCCATACAGCAGTGTGGTTGTGCTGAGAAGAGCTCTAGGCTCTGGATCAGACTGACCTCTGTTCAAAGCCCACCTCCATCACTACTAGGCTTGGTGTCCTGGGAAGATAAGATGCTTAAGCCTCAAAATTCTCATGGGTAAAACAGATATAGTACTTCTGACTTCAAAGGGTGCCTGTATGGGTTAAAGAAGACAATGTATAGCCAAGCTTACAAGGTGCTTATCACCACCTCCCTAGTCTCAATCCTCAAGGCGAGCTCACCTGTCACCGACAGGAGCTGGCTGGACCTACAGAGAAACATGGGAGAAGTTAGCCATACAGATCCTACTGTCTCCTGCTCAATGAGATGAACAGCCTGCCCAAGCTTACATAGCAGATCAGAAGCCAGCCTTCCAGCTTTGGGGTGCACTCTGATCCAAGGCTCTCTTCGAACTGCCCACTGGCAGGCCGCTGCCCCTTCAACTGCCAGGAGGCACTCCCTTCCCTAAGCCCAAAGCAGAGGAGGTGTTGCTGACATGAATGTTCCTGCCTGAGTAACTCTGTCTGGTGTTTCTTCTTTGCAGGGGATGCCCCTTTCTGTACCCCTGAGCAGCACAAGGAGTGTGCAGAGCCTGCCCTAGGTCAGTACTCAGGAGACAGATGGAATCATGGGGGCAGGGGGCCTGAGATTGAGATCCAGGAGATCATCTGGGTGTGGGGAAAGATCAAGCGGAAGAAGGAATGGAGAGAGGATGAGAAGAAAGGGGCTGGCCGAGTGGAGTTGCTGCAGGGATGGGAGAGGCAGATGGAGAGGAAGAAGAAGAGAAGGTTGGGGAGGGAATTGGTGCAAGAGGATGAGGGCTGGAAATGGAACTGGGGAGAGAAAGGAGGTATGGAAGGTGGAGATGGAGAAGGAGTAGGTTTCAAGGGAAACGGAGGGTGCTAAGGAAAGCAGGGGAGAGGACAGAGGTGGAGAGAGGATAGACAGTGGGCAGCCAGGTGGGCACCAGAGGAGCTTGGCAATACCTCCCCTCACACAATCCGATGGTGTCTACGTGGGGAGGCCAAGGTGATTCTGAAGTCACATCTTTCTTCTGCTCCATTGAGCCTGGGGGAGGTGGAGGAGGGCTGGAGAGGTAAGGTCAGGTTTGCATTGCATGTGCGCAAATGGAAAAAACAGAGCACACTCCTTACTCCTCCCCAAAGGGCCTGCTGGGGGTCTGCCAGTTGGAAGAACTCTGCTGGTTCCCCAGCTGGAAAACTAGGAGGGACAGAGAGTGCACAAACAAGCTGCCACCCCAAAGCTAGGCCCACTCTGCATCCTCGCCTCTCTCTGGACCCAGGAAATGGCTTACAATCAAGACAAGCAGACTTTTTAAACAATGTGCACTCAAGTTCGTTCAGCATCTGCACTTGCTGGAGCTAAGCGAGACAGTGTTGGCCTCAGGTCCGGATACCTCCAGGAGGACTAGAGAGGGAGGCCGGGCTGAGAGGGGAGGGAGTGACTTCTGATGTGTGCAAAGACTCAGCAAAACCCAGGGTAGCCTGAAACACTGAGGTGGCTAGAGGAAAAAGGGAAGGAGGTGTTAAAGAAAAAATCACTCTGACACTAGTTAAAATGGTAAGGAAGTCTTTATTCAGGGGAATTGCAACAGGTGTCAAGAGTATCACAATAGGGGAAAGAGATGGGACTCAACTCAGAATACAGCCAAGACAGCTGGAGATTCATAGCCATCAAGCAGAGCGAGGGCTCAGTAGATATAAAATTACCCAGAGAAAACCTCAAAGATAGGGGGAAATCTGCTGATGGCAGGCCAGGCTGATCAGATATCAAGGGTGGGGGATTCTGTCTGAACTGACTTTAGCAGGATTCTTGCTAAAACTGGGCTAGGCAGGCCCAGCACGGATGGGGTCCAAGGTCAACGCCTAGTCGAGAACAGGGCTCTGAAGAGCCTGGCTAAGTTTGATCAGGGAGAGTCTTTGTCAGAGGGAAATGATGCCTTAAACGTTATGTCTAATTGGAAGAAGAGAGGAGAGGGCAGGAAGGGTTCCAGATGCAGGGAGTTGCCTCCAGGGAAAGGAATGAAGGATCTTTGCCTGCATCCTAACCCACCAGGCAGAGGAGGTGGGCACTGGCTATGAGGGAGCCCCGGCAGGATTAGCACAGAGCCCTGGGTTTCAGGTAAAATGGTCTCCCACATTTGCTTTGATGGTGACCCACTCTGTGGATGAGAATACTGAGGCTAGAAGCAGGGAAGAAAGCCATGGGAAGCTGAGGGCACCGGGATGGTCTTGGAGACCTCTGCAAAAGTGGTCACATTTCAATAATTTTTAAAGAGTGACATGACAGTTAAAGGAAGCAGAAGGAAAACAAGATCAACCTACAGCAAAAGCCCAGTTCCCCTCTCTCCACAATCCCTGCCCCGCACTTTGCCCGGACCAGCACCCCTTTCCAGCTCACTTTTCAGCTGCTAGAATCCAGCTACTCTGGATCCTTAGAAATCCCAGTCCCCACACCTGACTAAGCCCCACCTCGCTCTCCCCTCCAGGTCTGCTGGCGGAAAAGGACAGCAATTACTGTCTCTGCAGGACACCCTGCAACCTGACCCGCTACAACAAAGAGCTCTCCATGGTGAAGATCCCCAGCAAGACATCAGCCAAGTACCTTGAGAAGAAATTTAACAAATCAGAAAAATATATCTCGTAAGTTTAGTGGGCATGGTAGGCAGGAGGAAGGGGGAAATGGATAAGGAGGAGATTGGAGGCAATCAAGGAGGAAAGCAGAGATAAGCATTTGGTTCAAGTCAGCAAACATTCACTGAGCACCCTCTGTGTGTCAAGCTCTGCTTCATGCTCAGAATGCAAAGACAAAGATGAGTAAGACACAGCCCCTGCCCTTAAGGAGCTTGCAGTCTTGTGGATAGACAAGTACACACTGAATGACATATAGGGTGACTTTGGCTGTCATAGGGGGATGCACATGGAAGGAGAGAATGATGGGTTAGCTACAGCTTGCAATGAGGTGACATCAGGGAAAGCTTCAGCAATTTTTTTTTTTTTTGAGACGGAGTCTCGCTCTGTCGCCCAGGCTGGAGTGCCGTGGCGCGATCTCGGCTCACTGCAAAGTCCACCTCCCAGGTTCACACCGTTCTCCTGCCTCAGCCTCATGAGTAACTGGAACTACAGGCCTCCGCCACCACGCCCGGCTAATTTTTTTGTATTTTTAGTAGACACGGGGTTTCACTGTGTATTAGCCAGGATGGTCTTGATCTCCTGACCTTGTGATCCGCCCACCTCGGCCTCCTAAAGTGCTGGGATTACAGGCGTGAGCCACCTCGCCCAACCCAGAGATTTTTTTAAAGAATGTATAGTTTTCCAGGCAGAACTTGCACATTCTATTCCCTCTGCCTAGAATTCTTTTCCTCGCACCCTCCACCTAACTGGTTCCTCTTTAAGCAGGTCTCCAATTAAATGTCATCTCCAGCCAGACATGGTGGCTCATGCCTGTAATCCCAATGTTTTGGGAGGCCAAGGCAGGAGGATTGCTTCAGGCCAGGAGTTCAAGCTCAGCCTGGGCAACATAGTTAGACCCTGTCTCTAAAACAAATATAAAACAAAAATAAAAATAAAATTGAAGTTATCTCAGGCATCTAGATGAGGTGCACTCCTGTTATTTTTCTCTCAAAGTCCTCTGGTGTTTTCCTTTATAACACTATAGCATGTAATTACATAGTCATGTTGTGTTTCCTTGTTTATTACCTGTCTGCCCCACTAGACTGAAAGCCCCCTGAGGGCAGGAAATTATCTTTTTTGTTCTCTGTTGTCTGCCAAATACTAGTGTAGCGTACGGCTCAGAGTTGGCACTCAATGTGTTTTAACAGAATAAATGAATGGAAGCATGGGAGAAGTGGGTGTCCTAGGCAGAGGCTCAGCAGAGACCATCAGCACAGGGCAGAAGAGAAAACTTCAAAGGGGAGCATGGATGTGTCAGAGCAAGAGGGTCTTGTAGGCTGAGCCGAGTGGGCGCAGGGGGTAGGCTTTATCCTAACAGAATAGGGATCCACTGAAGAGCTTTCAGAGGTGAGTGACAGACTCAAATTTGCATTTTCGACCACTGCTCCCCAATAGGTCAAATACTGTGCAATGATGGAAATGTTCTGTGTCTGCAGTGCCCAGTGGGGTTGCTGCT